CGGGGGGAAGTCGGGGGAGAAGCGGGGGGTAGTCGGGAAGAAGCTGGGGGTAGTCGGGGGAGAAGCGGGGAGGTAGTCGGGGGAGTAGCGGGAGGAAGTCGGGAAAGAAGTGGGGAGAAGTCGGGATGGAGGTGGGGGGGGAAAGGGGATCGCGATTAAGCGCGATCCAGGTGGAGTCGGGGTCGGCGTGAGGCGGGAAAGTGCTGGGGTTGGGGGGAGGCGGCGATGGTGCGGCTGCACCGAGCGATGGTGCGGCTGGCTGGCAGAGGCGACGACGGCGGGGCTGCAGCGAGCGGACGACTGCATCAAGCGTAGGTGAGCGGGGTTGAACGCGTGATGTGTTTTCCCCCGCTGCGCGATTCGATTTTAATTACGAAGCAAGTAGAATAGAGAGCCGTATGATAGGTTACTATCTCGTACGGTTTGTAGAGGACTCGAGTACCCCGCTTCTCTGGCCCGCAACAGTTTCAAACAGCAGCCGGTCTTAGCCGCTGATCTGCGACGATCGGTGGCCAAGATTGGCCAGTATTTCGAATGAAAAAAATGGGTCTACAGGACCCGGTTTCGAAATTGCGGGGTAGGGCCCACCCCCATGAGGTCTCAAGAGCACAAACTGCGTCGCCAAAAAAAAAAATTGGGCCCCCTGCAAAAATGCGCTGGGGGCGACCGGGAGTGAACCGGCCCGGTCCACCGGCCGGTCCATCCAGGAGAACCCCGGTTGGGGGAGGGGTCCCCGGTCCATCCGGGAATCAGCCCTGGTTCAAACCGTTTAACACTACTTCCCGAAAAAAAAATTGGGGCAACCTTGCAAGCAGAAAAGAAGAAGAAGAGGAAGAGACTGTGACAGTGTGGCTGTTGAGTTGGGCTGTCAATCGAACGGACAAACCGAAAAAGGCCAGGCCCTCGGGTAACCAGGGTGGTCATCCACTTTTGCTTGCCCATGATTGATTGCTTCGTATGCACGGGAGGTAGCTGTGTTGCGAAAGTTGTCTGCCATTGATACGAGCCGTTTTTCTTCTTTCTTTTTCTGGGTTGTGTTATAACTATTTTAGTATTTTATAATTTTAGTTGTAACGGGAATATAAATCTTCTGTTCATCGCTGCAGTGTTGAGTTTGCCCACTAGTGCTCGGCCCCTCAGGAGGATGAGTCATGTGGAGAAGCGCGTTCTGTTTCCTAGGGAGGGAGGGAGGGAGGGAGGGAGGGAGTCTGCTTACCGGTGGGCATATGGAGTGCGTGATGCGAGCGAGATGTCTCTGGTGTATTGTTCCGAGGCGGAGATATTTGGCGGTTGAACCATGATGAGTGTGGAAGTGCAAGGGGTTTCTGTCTCTGCTGCAGAATGTTCTGTTTCCTAGGGAGGGAGGGAATCTGCTTGCCAGTGGGCATATGGAGTGCGTGATGCGAGCGATGTCTGTGGTGTATTGTTCTGAGGCGGAGATGTTTGGGGGGTGACCAATGATGAGTTGTGGAAGTAAAAGGGGTTTGTGTCTCTGCCGCAGAACATATGTTGCGAGTATGCTTATCGGTGGGCTTATGAAGTGCATGATGAGATCGATGTCTGTGGTGTATCGTTCTGAGGCGGAGATGTTTCGGGGGTAACCAATGATGAGGAGTGGAAGTAAAAGGGGTTTGCGTCTCTGCTGCAGAATATATGTTGCCAATTGTAATACACGGTCATCGCCATGGCTGAGCTGCATGAATCGTCTTTGAATCGGTTTTCTGCGGTTGAACCTCAAGGATCTCCGATTTCAGGGAATGATGAGGTGTGGAAGTAAATACTAAATGGGTCTGTGTCTCTGCGGTAGAATATATTTTGCAAATTGTAAAATGCACGCTGACACCCATGGCTGAGCTCCATGAATCTTCTTTGCATCGGTCTTCTCGACTCTTCTGTGTTTGACCTTCGAGAATCTCCAATTGCTTGGTCTTCTCTTTTTGACTTTTCAACAGTCTTCGGCCCGTTGGCCGTCTCTGTTTGACTTTTCAACAATCTTCGTTCCGTTGGTCTTCTCTGTTTTTTCAACTTTTTGTCTTTTCAACAATCTTCGGTCCGTTGGTTGTCTCTGTTTGACTTTTCAACAATATATATTTGCCCGTTGGTCTTCTGACTCTTCTCTGTTGGACTTTTCAACGATCTTCGGCCCGTTGGTCGTCTCTGTTTGACTTTTCAACAATCTTCGGTCCGTTGGTCTTCTCTCTTTGACTGACCGTCAACGATCTCCGATTGGTCTGCTTAACCTTTTTAAGAATCTGCAGTCGGTCAGTCTGCTCTGTTTGATCTTCAAGAAAGTTTGATTGGTTGGTCTACTCTGACTCTGCAGTTGCCTTCCTTACGGTAAACTTTGCTTTGGCTTTTCTCTTCTGCTTTCCTTGAAGCTGAGAGGCCGAGTTGGGCGGGGAGATCGACCTTCAGTGTGTATTCTTCTTGTATCTTCCTCCGGATCGTTGCGACGGTTACAAACTCTCGAAAACGTAAGTGGGATTTCATTTCATCTGCCGTATACGGTATACACACCTGTGGCAATGCATGGGTGAGTTGGGGGTTTGACATCAATTAGGCTGCAAATTTTGTCTTCAAAGGATAGTTCAGAGAGCACAGGAAGGGTGTCTGCCTAGCTTTTTGGATGCCTCAACATTTCCATGGATGCTCTAGAGAATGGAAAGGGCTCTCTCAGTGGGCCGGGACCACTTGCCCGGCCAGGCCTGAAGCAAATAAAAATAAAAATAAAAATATTTTAATATTTTCAATTTGTTTTTTTTTTTTTTTAATTTGGTAGAGAATTTCGATGTGACCCTGAGGCAAAAGTTGTTCAGTTTATTTTTCTGCATAACATAGTTTTTTTTCGGATTTTTTTGATTTTTTTTGGATTTTTTTTTTTGCTGGGACCTTCCCTCAGGGGCCGAGGTCCCACTAGCAACGGGATAGGATAGAAACGAGTTTGTGGGGCAGTTGAGTGACCCAAATCCTGCCGTGCACTACTGGTGATCCCACCGTCAGTATTTTACATGTATTACCCGAAAAAATAACGAGATCTTCGTTCCCCTCCTCCTCTCCTTAACACTGGGCATGCCCGTGCAAAGACAGCTTCCCGCCAGAATCTTTTCAATCGGTTGGGGCTGTGGCCAACCCCAAACGAGGTTGGGGTCGGCCTTAGCCCACTGGATAGAAGATTTTCAGCATTTTACTTGCTGTTGTGCAATTATCTCATTGGGTGGAGCCCTCCTTCAATCACGGAGYATATGGAGGGTGTCAGGATCACTKCTBTCAGAAGTCRAGTTTATTCCAGAAMATGTGGYGGTTACTTTKTTCACTGTTTTTGCAACCACCACCATCAGATCATTTGTGATCTGATGGCTGGGAAGCACACTGCTGTGATTTCCGGTGGGAGGTCTCTGTTTCTTCTTTTTTTTTGGCCTTTTTCCTGTTTTCTCAGCCCAGAAATTCGTAATGAACTTGTCACACTGGATCGGGCACACTCCTATCCGACTGCTAATGGGACCTCGCCCTGGGACCACTTGCCCGGCCGGGCCAAAAGCAAATAAAAAAATAAGAATTATTTTTCAGTTTTATTTTTTATTTAAAATTTGGTAGAGAAACCCTGAGGCAAAAGTTGTTCAGTTTATTTTTCTGCATAACATAGTTAAACCATACTTGCAACCGCACGAACCGCACATCCGTGCGGAGTTCCGTGCGGGGGTTGCCTGTGCAGAATCGTGCAGGTTTATTATTATTATTATTATTTTTTAATATTTTATATTTTATCTTTTTTTGGGAGGGAGGACGGGGACGCGTATGACAGGAAGATGGGGATATGGAGAGGAGAGGAGGATATGGAGAGGAGGAGGAGGATGTGGACGAGGAGGACGATCAGGATAGGGAGGACGAGGAGGAGGAGGAGTCGAGATGGACGGAGGGAAAAGAGGAAGGGCAGGAGGAGGAGGACGAGTGGGAGGAGGAGGAGACATGGACGGCGAGGAAGGGCAGGAGAAGAGGAGGCATGGAAGATGAGGAAGTACGAGGAGGAGGAGACAAGGAGGATGAGGAAGGGCAGGAGGAGGAGGACGAACAGGAGGAGGAGGAGGAGGAGGAGACAAGAAGGGAGGAGGAGACATGGAGGATGAGGAAGGGGAGGAGGAGCAAGGTGAGGCAGCACTCCTGTAATAATTTTTTTTTCATCCCGCTTATAATTTTGGTGGGGGGCCTCAAACGAACCGTTTTGACCCCAGCCTTCTTTTTTTTTTTCTGAGGGGGGCTACGGGTCGTTCCCCGCACACGCCGTGCGCCACACGGGATCGGTTGGGCGCGTGCGACGAACGTAGGGAACCCCGCCCGCACGGTGTGCGCTTGCAAGTATGAGTTAAACTTTACTTTTTTTTTTTTGCTGGGACCTTCCCTGGTCCTTGCACGGCCGTCCCGCCCAGGAAAACAAGGTGACCCGGGCGGCCGGACTGGTAGCCTAGTTTCTGAGATAAAAAATAGAATTTCTTAATAACATTTGTTAATTCTGCATCTGATTTTCTCTGTTGTTGCAGTCTCAAGATGGTTTCTATCTTGCCGAAATGGATTTGCAGCATCGTGGCCCAGGTCAGTCAGCCATTTAACGTCTCCAACTTTCTTTCCATCCATACACGACCATAGATCCTCCTCTCTGCAGGCATATATGTGTGAGTATCAACCCTTAAAAAAAAAAAAAAAAAAAAAAAAAA